ACTCTTGCATTAATTGAATGGAGTGCTGAAGTACTTGGTTCTTCTAAATGGCATCTAACACATTTTTTAGAACTTAATTCTGCACGTTTCCGTTGTGATAAAGAGTCTTTAAGTTCTTTGTATCACCTATGAATAAATGTGCAGTATTAACCGTATAACTTTAACACTAAGGGTGTGGATTATTCATTAACATTTCCCAAGCAGCCTTTATATTGGCTGAATTATCTGTTATGTTGGAAAATATTTTTTATAGTTTATAGTCCCAACTCAGTAATGTTTTGAAATTGACCTGTGATTTAACTTGCATCATGTAAAGATTCATCAGTGCTGCTGAATAAATAATGAACTGACTAAAGTGGTTACCATGAAATTTATTACTCCATTCTGAATATCACCCTAGCTCTACATCAACCAGAGAAACATAATGGACCTCATTAATTATGACTCTTAACTTTTGCTGAATGCCTAGTTACCTAGTAGCTGCTTATGGTTGAGAAATTTATACATTGTACTTAACTGTGAAATAAATTGTGTACATTATGTGCTTCAACAATGCAGTAAAAGAAACTATTTGCATCAGGAAAAGGTGATTAAGCTCTCTCTTCTGGTCAGGCAAAATTTTATTCATAACTCCAGTAATGGCAACTTGATTGTGACTAGTGGGACTTTGTAAGATATATGGAATGGTAAATGGAACTGAGCAATTAGTGATATTTGCTAATGAAATAAGAGACAGCCTCATAAACCAATTCAGCACAGGCATTGATTCATTTTGCATGTAAATATGTTTTATAAATCTACATTCAAAATATAATTAAACATCTTTATTATCAATATATGTCTAAATTTGGCAACAGAATTTAGTTTATAAATCAAATGTTTACATTATCTAAGTTTAATTTCTGAAGGAAGTGTTTAAAATATTTCTAAATTTTCACTTGTGTTGTCACATCACATTTGTGCACTCTGCATTCTTCATTTTAGTTTGTATGACTTCAGTATTATAACTTGTACTGTGTCTATAAATATGAGATGTCAGTAATGATATGGTAAAATGTAAGTTTGTTGTCCTAACTTCTCTATTTTTTCAGATATCAATGTATTTTCCATTTTTACAGAAGCACCACCCATGTATCCATAACTTTTATGGGACTTTTCAAAATCATGTGTTCTTATTTGACACATATGTTCGTAGCCAATAGTAAGAACTTTTTTTTTCTGTTTTAAGCTTGCAATCATGTTTTTGTACTTGGAAGCAATAGATATCATTCCAGAGGAAGCAGTTGATTTATATGTAAGCGGAGTTGTTGCTTATAGCATTAACAGAAATTTATTTACCCTATTTATAGTCTTTGGTGGAAAACAGTTAAATTGTAGTAGTTTTGGAACATTCTCTTCTCATCACTGATATATTTTCTGTGCTCTGAAAGACATATTTGAAAAGTCTTACATTTTTGTTTGAACAGTGCACTTGGAAAAAAAGAAAAGACCTATTTATCTACATGTTTGAGTGTACGGTTTCATGCTGTTAAATAATAAAATAAGAATAAAATTGATGTGAAAAGGTTAACAGTTGAAATTGTGGTTATCATTAAGTGAAGATATACCAACAAATGATGCATTCAAAGACGAAAAAAAATAATATTCATAATTTTCAAATTCCCATTTCATTTTACATTGATGATTTAGCTAAAGTTAGTGTTAAGGTAAAGAAAAATAAAATTTACCTTAACAATTTTTGATATTCAATTAGGAGTTTGTAGAGGTTATTATTCTTAGTATGGAACTTGTCTTTCCCTCGGAATGAACCAGTAAGGGCTTCATAAATTCACATATAAATTTTCAGTAAAAATCCTTTTTTGAAAAATTTATTTTTTTGTGCAACTGATTAGTAGTGTTTATTAAAAGCTTGCCAAATTTAATAAAGATACAAGGTTGGTCAAAATGATCGAACCTGTATGTATATGTAGTTAATAATTTTTGTAACCTTTAATAAAAACAAAAAAATTAAGCTTATTAGTTTTATTATTTTTTCTACATTGATGAAGTTGTCAATTATTTGTTTTTGTAACCTCCTAGTATGTGTAGTTCAGGCTTTGCTACTCCTGATAAATATGAAAATTTCATCTATTCAGCTGCATAGGCGAGGTACTATATACCCATTAAAACCCTATAAAATAATACGTACACCAATTTTGTGAACATACAGTTTTACAGCTAGATCCAAACTATATAACTTTTTCAGTTGAACCTGTTTGTTCATTCCAAGAGCAGACTTGGTTGTGGTTGTCATGTTACTTGCATAGTAACATTTTGGCAATAAAAGGTTAAAATTCAAGGAAGTTGTGTAAAATGTTTTAAAATACTCAAATAAAATCTTTATTTAAAGACCGATCAACAGTCATATAAGATTTCTACATGTTTTCCAGTGGGGGTAAAAACTTATTTTGGCTCAACCGAAAAATGTGATGGCTAGAAATATTAGAGAAACTATAAAAATAAACACAGTAAAAATAATTTCATCTTAAATAAGGATGAAGGGTTAAAAAATCAGAAAGTAAGCAGATGGCATGATCTTTTTTAAATATGTAAACTAGTAGTCACGTGACCGTGGCATTTTGTATTTATGTCGTTGCACAGTATTTGTTTTTCACACACACGAGGATGACTTGAATCAATGTCAACATGTAAAGTGTCTTTAAATAAAGATTTTAATTGGGTTTTATACAATGTTGATCTTTGAGTATTTTAATATATTTGAAATTTTGAATGTGATATAACTCTTCATTACTCATGTAATATAAATAACTCTTATGTGTTTTTAGCTAGAAAAACAATTTTCATAAATATGTTCACTGCCTTTAGAAAAAATTATCTTCTGACTTGTTAGGTTCTAGAGTAGATTTGAAACCTCAGTCATTCTTAGTTTTTATTTTTTTCTTTCAAATTCTCTTCAATCTTCCAAGAGCCACAAACATAAAAATAATCCCATTAATTGGTGAGAATTGTATCATACATAGAACAACACTACACATGGTATATGTTACTGTTATTAGCCTTAATTTTTAGTTTAATAAACATTAGAATACAAGTGTGTATTTATAATTTTCTCGTGAAATTCATTTTCAGTTTTAAAGGTCCCTAGTGGGCCAGTGGTAAATTCATGGACTAACAACAATAGAATCTGAGGTTAAATTCTTTGTGATGAACAGGGCACGAATAGTTCACTGTGTAGCCTTGCACTAAAACAAACAATGAAACAAATAGATTTAGTTATATTCACATGTCATTTATATATATATATATATATATATATATACTAGTTG